ACCAGACTACGACGGCGAGGGATGCCAAATTCCAAGGTCACGTGGGCATCGGCGAATGAGGACACGGGGTAAAAGAACAACCAATGGAACCGTCCGACAGAATAACTAAGCGCGGTCAAAGGTCATTCCCGGCTACCAGCACGTATATCAACACACACGTAACACTACTGAACGCACAACCACCAACCCACCGCTACGCACAACTACGCACTGATGTCACCTCGATTGGTGATGAAACGTTTGCAACCAAATTGCCCAGCTCAACGAACAAGCCAACGACCATGTATGAATTAGTGTTTGTGGATGATAACTCTGGTGTTTATGTTCTCAATGTTATAAAAAAACTCATAGTGTTGTGACTTCAATATTTATTCGTATTATTATCGAGTTTTGAGGTATATCAATCATAGTTTGCCTTCATTGCTCATTGAACGTATTCTCCCCCAAGAGAGACCATTTGCCCCAGCTGAGGACACTTAGGCCGTTTCACACAAGTGGTCGCTGAAGAGACTACCGTTACGTGCCTATATATATATATATATTTATAAAATTACCAATCTGTCATCTCAAGTATGATGGAGTACCACCTGTTTCCCAGTTTACAACTCCAAGGCGTTCTAATCAACGTCCCACGTTATTATCAGTGAGACAGGATAATGGAACACTTAGGGTCGGAATTTGACGTTGATATCTTAGTGCCAATCACGTAAGTGATGCTGATTCCATTTATTGCGTCAATGTGTTAAGATAAATAATGGTTTGCAACAGATGTATGCATTTTAAATGGGCATATTTTTCCCTTGGGCTGACATCGGTGTCAAAGTATTGCACGCAAAATCACCTTAGCTTCCCCACAAACTGTGGTTGTCAATAGATCGACTACGGTTGAGCCGCAGATCTGCTGTACTCTTGACTGTACGTGTGAGTCGGAGTCCAATCAAGCATTCAAATTCAACTACAGCTGTGGTGAATTTGGGCAGTTCTTCAGTCACCTGCCCATTAGCATCTTCACAAACACCACTATCTCGTATAGGCCATTTACCAATTTGTCAAATGTTGTCGGTTGACGTGGATGGGAAACCTAATATGAGAACTGCCTTCAGGAGATAACCATCAACCGCGCACTGAATGCCATAATTCTAGAATAACGTCCTTCAACTTCGCAGCACTCACTGAATGCAGGTTGTTTTGAAATGTATTTTCCTGGTGGAAATCGGAAAAGGTCATCGCCCTCCTTTACTTACTATCAGCGGTTGACGAGACTAGTGAAAATAAACGGAATGACCTACCAATGTTACATACAAGACTGCTGCTCAAAAATAGCTCTCGTTTCCTAGTATACGATATATATATACATATATATATATCTGTATACGTAATTGGTCTCCAGACTTGGGAGACGGTCTATCTGGTAGGGGTGATCTCTGATTTACCAACCTACATTTTGTTCTATTCAAAACACCCTATTGTGCGTAATTGAAAAAAAACAGACTAAGTTGCAAACTGCAGACTCAAATGAATGAGTAGCATAATCCACATTGAATTACAACATGATATCTAGAATATGGTACCAACTGGAGCATGAAAGTGTACAACAAATTCATTTGAAGAACATCATAGACGGCAGCTTCAGCTTGGATTCATTTGGTTTTCCCATCGACAACATTTTAATTTGCAAATCAGCTTATTTCCTCAATATTCTCCTCAACTTCATAAAAACGTTCATGTCCAAATTTTTACCGAGGTCAGTCTGGAAGCCTTCGTCGATTGATTAGACAAAGTTCATCTTGAACATTCAGCTGTTTATTTCCAAGGATTCTGTGTTCCAAAATTCGAATGGGCGTAACCGCCCCAGTGTGACATCCTCTCTAGGCAATATTCAGACTTTTGGTAGTCTAGACTTCAAATTGACGTCTTTCGTTCTGGAAAGCATAACCGGATGGCATTAGCATTTCTTGAGATATAACAATGGACCGGCTGCGTTGTCCCTTTTGGCTGAAATTAGTTTTGAAGAGACCTTTGCAGGTAAGTGCAGTAAATTTGTTCAACTTTTCACTCGGTTTTATTTGGACAATTCTAAAAGAACACTTCATGTACGTAACACACGGCGTGACCTCGTGATCGGTTTACGAAGATTACACGCCACCGCAAACAAATAAGTCTTAATCTCGCCAAAGGCTTAGTCATTAATGTGGAAGTGGACATTGTTGCCAGGTCTAAACTCCATGAACCACACATCTGTAGGAACAGTCAATAATGTCACACCTTTCCCTTAGCTGTGGTACTGCTTTAGGAAACCCTTAACCCAAAGGCCTAACAACAGTGCCTCCGAATATTGCTTCATATTCTGATCTTCCCAGGTGACCGCCTTAGAATGCACATTGGTCTTGCAAGCAAAACGCTAGTCAGCGACGAGACATCAGCAAGTTATGTGGATGAGTCACGCCGATTCAGGCAACCACGTTAGATATGGGTGCAGGGTTGCGTCCCGTCATTGCGATACTGTTAGAACTGCGTAGCCAAATTCATTTTCCCTGAGAGGCAAATCTTCATACGGGTCTGAGCGAGAGCAACTCGCGATTGTCTGGGAAAAATAAACAGCTGTGCGTGTGTAACCAAACGAAGATAAGAAACCGGGACTTCTTCTGTTTTGATCTGCCACATTCCTTCCACCTGCGGACAAAACAAAGTTGGTTGACAAAATTTTTCTCATGGAGAAAACAAGACTGCTGTAGACTTCATGAACGTGTTTTGGGTCCATAACAACTGTATGCAGTAAAAAGCCGTCGTGTTGTAGTGTATTCGCCCAGCTACGCTGCAAGATTTCGTAAATTACATTTGACGGAATCGGATTCCTGATGATAATAATTAAGAAGACGTGTTCTGCGTGCCAAACTACTTATTGTAGCGGCCGCTCCAACGTGTTGTTGGTGTTTGTTTGTCATAATGGGACCGTCAATGGATGTGGACACTGAGAACATTTATTTTGTGGATTGTATTTGGCCACTTAAATATTTTCACTGTGTTTTGATAGAGATTCCATTCTGCGAACGAACGAACTCAACACCGAATAACAAAGAAACATTGTGGAGATATTTGGCTCGTTTCGGGAGCACCCAGCAAGACACCTTCCACGAATTTGTAGGACAAAATTGGACCACCGATATCCGGCGGCTGGCAGTTGAAAACTATGCCGATCGGCCATGGGCGACTGATTAGTAGTGTGCTCATTCGGTGCTTAGACAGGATACGGTGCGACTCATCTAACAATCACATGATTCACAGTCAAAAGTTGATTGACGACTTCTCATGTGCTTGTGCCAATTAATCGTAATCCGATAGTTCTACTGACTGATGAGTTGTTCCATTCTGATAATTTCCAGCAAGGACGAAACAGCTGTATAGCGCCTCTCAGAAATTCGGAGTTTAATAACTTACATATTTGCACAGGAAATTTATGATGCTCACAGTTTGTTGTAACAAATGGGAAGATTAACATTGAGAATCTGTCGCCTGGAGTTGAGTTTCGCGCTGGATACGTCCCAATGAAATTCGGAACGGATTTGTAACGCTTAGGCAGGTGAAACTCGTTGGCCGACCAGCTCTCATTGATGACATATCTTGAAATGAGTTTATGAATGACTCTTGAGCAAAGTGGAGAAGCCCATTATTGCCTTCTAAGTGACATATGGGAAGAAAGCTTAAACGTCGAAAGGCGTGATCGATAAGGAAACTTGTCGCGGATCACATCGAATAGGTCGACGTAGCTGTGGCGTTTCTGTCTGGGTTAATTTTTATGCAGAAAAAGTGAGGGACGAATAGTATTCCATTGCAGTCTTGTATGGATATCTCGAAAGCTCAAGCTATTGCTTGAGCGTTAACATGTTAGTTGTTTGAACCTGCTGAAACAGTTATCAGGTGTACAGAGTGGGAATCCTGCAACAGCCAAGACGACGTACTGTTGACGGCTCTAGAAAAATTATATGAGCCAGTTGCTTTCCCGCTGTTGATATTAGGACGTAGGTTGATTCGTTTGAGTTATATGGTCGCGGCAAGTCACCTCTTTATGTAACCAAAAGCGGCACGTTGCCAGTACAAAAAGAATGGTTACTTTACTTGCATCGGTTGCAGTAGGAATCTGTCGGTAGTGTGAAGAAATGAGGAGTTTCAGATCATTCAGTTAGGTGTCACTTCCGAAATTGAGAGTTTCGGCAAATTTGACAGGGTGCGATTTGAAGAAGTTCTTTGTGTCTCAGAACAAGTGGTCAATTTCATATAGGTTTGGATTATTCGTCCGTCCCCAATCGCATACGGACAAGCGTACCTTAACTGCCGGTTTTTGTTTAATCTGTTCGAGGGTTTGTATTTGGCTGGAGAAATTAGGTTATATTTTAATCTAGAGCAGTTTTGCTGTTACTGTGAATTTATAAGAATTCAGCCAAGGAATTCCTAATTTGAGTTTCAAGTATATTAGTTTGAAATTCTTTTCTGCTGTTTTCTATGCTTGAGCTTTCTTCTAATCAGATTGTGTGGAGTGGTAGTTTTTGGACGAACTTTTTTCATCGACTTTTCCGGGTCTACGAGACATAACTGTCATGATCCAATTTCTCCTGTGTGGTCAGTTGAAAGTTATTTCTGATCGTTGAAATAGTTAATAATTGTGGAAATCTTCCTGTCAAAGCTCTCCGTTGTTAGCTAGTTTGCAAACTCCTAGTCATGTCCATTTGGACACCGGCACTATTACTGTAAGGAATGACACTTAACGATCTAGTTGAACATTCATTGATTTATGCAACAATTAAAATACGTGTGCGTTGTTGGCAGCACGAGTAATTCGGACTGTGTAGTGCTTCCAATCAGAGATGCACCTCCAAGGCCATTGTTGTTGAGTGCAGTCTATCAAAGTCGTTTGAACAAAGCAAATCTCCATTTTATCGATTAGTGTATTCGTTCGCAATGTTGGTGCATCGCAATAGTTCTATATAACAATTTCCTCATTTAATACAAGGATATAAGTCGTCTGAAAGTTTGGGGCACGTACACATCCTGATTCTGCGTTGAACAGTTCTAGGTATGGTTCGGAAGTACTTTGCATAAAAGTCGAAAAATGTACCAAGGAAGATTCAAGAAACTCTTCAGCTCAGATGGACTGTGTTATTCTGGCAAGTCACTGGCTTCACTCTATACGTGTCGGTAGTGATTACTTCTCCCAATTGCACCTTACCATAAAACTTACTACGAGTAGAAACAAGTTATTTTTTTCGACTTATGTTTTAGATAATAACCTACTATCCTTCCTAACAGGGGGAACAAGTTTTAGAAGTAGTCCTCTACAGATCTGTCAAGTAGCACAGCGTTGTCCACGTACACCATAAGAATTTTCGGCACTGGTTCATCAGACACGCGCTCATTAAAGCACCGAAATACGACCAGAGCATTTTTATTGCTATCTGTCTTTGGAACTAGCACGGGTCACTGGGTTGATGCGAAATACTGGGTTATACCGCAAACTTGCTGCAAAAATATGCGGACGAAAGCTGTTAAAAGCTGTGAGTAACCATATAGCAAGCATATGGAATGCGTAACAGAATTCATCAGGTGCTCTCGAGTCTGCTTTTGGATAGCCCATAGACTGTTTATATTTTACGCGGTACACAGGTTTCATCAAGCAGTTCACTTTTATGTGATCAAGAGGGTGGTATTCATTGATTAGGAAATTGCGCTTTGGACAATTGTGGCCCTCGGTTACCCAGCTGCATAATTAATGCAGGACAATAAAAAGGAATTCACGCTGACTTGACTTATTTTAGAGAGTCTGGTAATGGTTTTGGCATCCATTCCTGTGAGATAAAACATCACTTGGTCGAAATTGGCGAAAACACCACACTTGTTTCCCTCATCAGGACACTGGACAACCAACTCCTCCCGTTTACCTATAGGCAGCGAGTATGGGAAATTTTACACGTTGATTCATACTTGCTAGGACCACCGTCCCTCCACAAGATAGTTAACTGTGAGATTGTTTTGCATACAGGTATGTACATAAGACTACCCTAAATATGTAGAGCAGGGTGTCAAGTGTGTTTGAAAAGGAACAATACATACAGTGGATGAGCCGATGGAAAATTCTGAGGACAGGTTATCCGTTGGTGGCAAATACTAGAGGAGGTCCCATACACCATTAGCACACAACATATCATTTTGAGAGCGGTGTGGTGCAGACTTAATCAAAACTGATCACCAATTCAGTAACTATCTCTAACATGTAGCTTATGTTGAAAAACTAATTGGCTTATGTTGAGCGCAGGTGGGGGAAAGCCATATGAAACGAGTGACCTCAGTCGAACTGTGACAAGTCCCTGGGGGGCGGAAAGTTCCAGTCAGACTCAGTCGTTGCGTCGCGAGGGCACAAATATGAGTGACCTTACTGTTTTGTCGATCAAAACTTCAGTACCGTTCTAAATTGGAATCAGCTTCCTATGGGACCTAAAGTCTATATGGCTTTATTCCTTGAATTACTTTAGGAAAAAATAGACCTATTCTGGTTACCTTTTGAAGAAAAACGTAATGTTAGTGGAGGAAATTATAATGTCCATTTTTTGACCATAGGATGTGGTTTCCTTCTGGAGATAACTTCTCGAAATCAACTGTGGCGATTTAATGCGTTAGCTTGTCGGAGGGGTCAACTTTGGTGGTCAGGATGTTTGCGCAAGAGAATTTTCTAATAATGTGGCGCTATTTCTCCACCTAACTGAAGACAATTTTATATATTTGTTGGAAAGTTTGTTCTGCAACATCAAAGCAGGTGTGTGTCTTTTGAAGCAAGATGCGGATGCTGCTAGGAGTTTTTTGTCACTGGGTCTTTCGTATTTTACTAAGAGAACATGGTTTTTAGGGGGAACTGTGTAGATAAAACGATTAATCTTCCGGATGGCTTCAAAGACTTCCTGTTTCGTCTTATTTAGTCTTTGTGCCTAAATTATGGTCGAGGCTTTCTCTGAGCTCGACATTTTTGTTGTGAGACGGAAGGAACTGTACGTTGATGGTTGTGGTTTCAGCAATGGTGTATGTGAGTTAAAGTACATCTTGCTGGAGAAGATTACCCTTGATTATGCTCCACTGCCCATGTGATTATCCCTATCGATTAAATTTCTAACGCTTGTTGTGAGTGGCCGACGTCCAAGTGACATTGGGCCTTAAATTCTCATCTGCATCCTGTGAACCGTGCCAAAATAGTCCCGCGATTGCTATTGTCTTGTGATACGTTTGTCAGATGTCTGGCCCTGTTTGCGACTTCTTGCTCTTAAAGGTGAAAAGATCGGATTCAGTATGTCGCGCAGCACTATGCTTCTAGAAATCTTCCTGCGCCGGAGCATTTCCTTCTTCTGTACCGATATGGTGACCTCCTGAGCTTCTTAAACGTAGATAAATGAAGTGGATTATACCTTCTTGCGGTTGCCTTTTTTTAGTTGATCCCTTTAGACAGTTTTCTTCCAGCCTGTCCATTGCATTGTTTGTTGCATTCAATTCGCTTTATCTGACCTAATAATGGTTTGCTGCCTTTTTTGACTTCAACCTTTGATTGTGAATTGAAGCCACACATGGTACCGGGCTTGTTAAGCGTTGAGATTTCACGCAGATTAAGTATTCTTGTTTGAAATACATTCTTGACGTGTGAGGCGCCATTCATTTGGCCGTTGTTGCTGTTGTTTTTGTCATCGTGATTGTTTTGTTGCTGTTGTCGTACTTCGGCCAAAAAATTTTTCTTGGGATTCCATCGTTTTTAATCCCCGATAATTATGATTTACACTTTTCTTCGCAGTTCCGTCGTGTTGTACTGTCTGCTGTTTCGACTAGACTTTCAGCACAAGTGTGGTAGTTTGGTATTTGATTTGTTTATGGTTCTTTCCGAAATATGCAGGATCAAAGTGTTCCGTCAGTAGCTCTCCAAATTACCACGTCCAAGAATGGTGGGTTGTTGTCTTTCTCCAGGTCAGTCGTAAATTTGATACTCTTAGGTGTGTTGTTGAGCAGTTCTTGTCTGTGGGTTCTGCTTAATTTCGTCTGACGATATAAAATTTATCACCCATACATCGGATTGGATCTGAGGCAATGCAGTGCACGTTGTGGTTTCTACTGCTCCTGAGAATAATACTCCCACGCTTGTTCCTTTTATTTGTTGATATACTTGCCTGCCGAAGCTGAAATATGTGACCAAGAAAACTTCCAAAAGCATGCCAATGCTTTCTGGCTTTAGGGTTCCTGTTGTGTTGTGTTGATTTTGAGGGGGTTCCATTGGGTCCTCTTTGGCAAGTTTGTAATCAATCAACGTGAAGATAGCAGTAAAATAGAATGGCAACATGACTTTTTCGTCTTCAAACTCAATATCCTGTAGTTTGCTAAATGATCGTCCATAGCTGTTGGCTCTACGGTCAAATCTAATTCACCCGGTAGATGGACGGTTGGTCGATGAAGGACTACATCATTGTGAAACTTCAGTTATCTCTAGAGTTATTCAGTGTGGGTGTCACCCGCTTCCATCGTCCATCCTTTAAGCTCGTTCGTGGTTTGTTGTTTTCGTAGCGTTGTGATTGACTAGCTTTGAACTCGTGTAGCGCTCGATAGGACGATATCAGGTCTTGTCGGTTGGTAGTTGTGTGGTATTCTCGATATAGTTCGGCTTGTCCGGAATAACTGCCTTTTGTCTGACAAGACTTTCCATCTTCTGTAGGTTGCTGAGTGCTTTCTCGTGGCCCTTGATAATTGTCCGTGTTTTTGTTGTTGCTACTGTGGCTAACTTTAGAGCGCAGTTCGTGAGTAGAACAAAACCAAGCGAAAGCTTTCGTCAACTTTTACCTTAGATCAGTAGCTATAAAACAACGGTTTCACTTCATACACACAATAACTGATTCAAACAATCGCAAATGTTAATAGGAAGACCTCCGGAAATGAAGAAAGGCATTCCGCTAGTCAGTTGTTCCGGTGTTAAGGAGCACGGAATATCGTTTTGAAAGTGTAGTTGTTGATATTCTAAGAACATTAAGGTCAGACAAGGAATATGAGTTTATCTAATACTCACCAACCCGGTGGCACAATACACCAAATAATCAGATGTGCATGTTGACAGGTATGATCGATGATATTTGCATGATCGTGTGGTCACTCGACCGATTCTCATTTAAGACTCAACTAGTATCCTGAGCAGAGAGTATTGTACACAACTGATACAATTCTAGTGCCTGTATGGATAGTGTCCTGTTACAGTTCACAAGTCACTAGCCATTTCAATTATATTTTACTGAAACAGTACTTGATAAGATTATAGATCTTATTGGTCAAGACAGTGGAGTAAAGTTTTCACAACTAAACCACATAGTAGGCACTGAGTGCTTTTTATCTTTGGTTGTTGACTGACAGCGAGTGTTTGGATGGCGTTTATGCGGATTTATTCTGGAAATGTTCTTGTTTTAAGCCATTTATCGTCCATATTGGAACTGAAAAGAAGACCGTAAAATAGAACAGAATTAGAAAGGCTTAGCCGGTTCCGTTGTGCTCGTGCACTAGAGGGATATCTTTTATCGAAGTTATCTTCTAATCAGGGGTTTCAGGATCAAAAATCAATACAATCTAAGATGTAAGGTCACAACATCGATTTTTTTTGGCAAGCGACTTGATCCATTGTCGCAAGTGCTGTAGAGAACAAAGGTGATCTCAAAAATTCAGTTGTGGAAAGGTTTGGTTAGCAACATTCGAGCTATCTAATGGGGAATGAACTCCAAGGCAGTTTATGGGGAACCAGATGTTTAAGAAAACTTATTGGTTCTAATATGGCATATTTTAAACGTGATTCATCGCACATAAGTTAGCTGAAGATTATTCGACAGGCCACGACCGATTTTGCCCTTCTTGGGCTCGTAGGCGTAGTCCATCGCACATAAGTTAGCTGAAGATTATTCGACAGGCCACGACCGATTTTGCCCTTCTTGGGCTCATCAGGTAGGCGTAGTCCTCGAGTTTCCGTCGACCTTATGTTCAACTTGAACACAGATTGCACGAACTTAGCGAAGCACACTGATTTTCAAACATATTTGGTCTAGTATTGTATAGTTTATTTCCTGTTAGTGCGAAATATACGAGTAAATAAGTGATCCGTCTCCCTGCTTGTTGTGGTTAGTCTCAGGAGAGCCACTGTGCACCATCTCACTTTTAACGCTTTTGGTGAAACACAAGGAAATATACAGTGCAATTTATGAGGTGTAAAATAAAGACTATTATCCAGATGTGTGCTCGGTCAAAAAATCTCTTACGCGATAGAACGAAATGTCAAGTTAGCTTATATTCCGCTTGACTTGAGGATAATGTCACTGAAGTCAATTTTTGTTCATATCTGTACACGGGCACGTGCAATAAAAGCTGCCTGGTCCAAATGCGTTTCGTTGTTACATTATTCGAGTACAATCTGACCCTAGTCAGATGAAGTAAACATTGAACAGCTGTTTAGCACTTGTCTGGGAAATGATCCGTAAAAATAATTACCCGTGAGTACTAGCCTGTTAGTAGTTGACTTTCAGCCTCACAATTACCCTGTAGTGATACGTTGATCCCGATCGAAACCGGTTTTGTAAACTTGTTTTATTAGTTGAGCTCTGTTGGAAATAAGTCATCTCAATCCAAGTCGGGGTAAAGAAATATATTGCTTGTTGCAGACGTGATAGAACACAAAGAGACTATCCGTTTTATTTGCAGAAGATTTAGCACTTATTTTGAACACCCCACTTTGTTTCTACATTTGAGGATAGATGTAGAAAAATTTGATGTACTAGACCAGAAACGCGAGTCCCTGTGCGCCATCCGAATATCTCTCGAAGTAACGCATTAGGCCCGAACGGTCTGTTGGGGGATATAAACTGCATATGTCATCAAGAGAACTATGAATTCTCTCGACAAATATAACAGCCGTTGGGGACTCAAAATCGGATTTTCGCATTCACTTAGAGATAGCCGCATCTTGGTAGAGCCAGCGAATGGACTGGTTATTGTCTCCTTTGTTCTTTCCAGTCTTCATTCTCTCTCACTCTCTCTGTCTTTATCAGGCTAATGATCCTTGGGTTCGAAGATATGATCTGACCGCTGTAGTTCCTCCTCTATTTTACCAAATACCTCTACATTCGCTTGAATGTCTTCGATCTTACCTCATCCTGTACCGTCTGGTTTATTTCAGTTGTGTTATGTGCGCGCTACAAGTTACATATTCACTGTTCTATGGAAGTAGGTTGAAAAATTTAAAGGCCTCCGGTACTGCTTGTTCCTCATATTCATTCCAGATTCACATTTGAGAATGACTGTCAAACCTACGAACAAACACCCTACGCATAAGGCTACTGAAAACTCTTCGATAGACCACGAGCAATTTCGTCCCTCTTGAGACTCAGCAAGTAGGCACACTCCCAGAGTTTTTCTCAATCTTGTTTTCTCCTTGAAAAGAAATTGCATGAAATTAGCGAATTAGACTCATTGCTTGCAAATTAGGTTTTCTCAGGAGAACTTTCTGAATCTGAGTTGAATCTAGCATTTGTGATTTTCTTAAATTGATTGT